ACCACCACCACTACTACCACTACTGCTACGGCTACTGCTACTGCTACTGCTACTACCCACTACTACTACTACTACTACTACTACTACTACTACTACTACTGCTATTACTAGTACTGCAGAAACAGGAAGAACAAAGCCAATGACATCATCAAAAGCAACAGCATCAACAACAACGGCACTACTACCACGACGCCGACGACGACGACTACGACTACTACTACTACTACTACTACTACCACTACTACTACTACTACTACTACTACTACGACTACTACTACTACTACTACTACTACTACTACTACTAGCCACCCCTTACCAACTACACTTCGTCATTGTCATCAACATCATCACCACCAACATCACGAAAAAGCAAACACATTTCATCAGCAACATCTCCAAAAAGCAAATACATGTCATCCCCAACATCACGAAAAATCAAACAGATTCCATCAGCTCTCGTCACCAACATCACCAACAGTACTGTAAATACCAAGTAACAGCGGGGTTGCGTGCGAAAGTATTGTAAATACCGAGGAAAAGCTGTCCTACACCCAATTTCGAGTTTTCGCTGCACTACTACTGCTACTACTACTACTACTACTACTACTACTGCTGCCGCTGCTGCTACTACTACTACTACTACTACCACTACCACTACTACTACTACTACTACTACTACTACTACTACTCCTACTCCTATTCTGATGAATAGTAATACTGGTACTCATGGCAAAAAATGCGAACCATAGTAATACGAAGAATTCTAATACTAATCATACTAATCGCAACAATATCATCTATAAGTATAATTAGAGTATAACGGTATTAACACATGACAATAGCAATAGTAGCAATCATTCAATTTACAACAAGAATAATGAGAATAAGACTAACAATAAGAGTCATCAAAACAATAGTAGCACGGGGCATGCGGAATTTGCATGCTTGCATGGCGTCCATTCCCTTCGTCTGTGCGTCGCAGGGACGGTACACAGTGCCAAAATCGTAAATGGTCGTCGCATGCGTCATCGTAAAAGATCGTTCCGGAGTGCTGTTGAAGGTTGGGTGTTCCTAGTCACGCATTGTTTCAGGGTTTGGCTTCGGGGGATGCCTGACACATGGTCGAAGGTGAGATGGCGGCGGCAGCACTGGACATGTCCTTCTTAGAGGCATGCGGCATGGTCGAGCCAAACCAGACTTACCATTGCTAGGCCGTTTTCCAGGCATTGTCCGCTTCAGCCTCAGCGTTTGTTTGCAAAGCGAGCAAGCAGAAGTTGAGCAGGCAGCATTGAAGTAAGCAACTTGCCGTGATATCAGATTTCATCCACCCCTCAATGTCGCTAAACCTGCAGGACCCCCAGTCCTAGGCCCACGCAGCCCTGCAGTTGGTACCAGGATCCGAGCATGTTCGGCAAGAGCCGCTATGTGGAGGAAGAAGCAGGTGCAGCTGCAGCAAGCTTCTTGCAGTGCTTCGGAGGCCCGTGTAGACTAACACAGAGGTGTGTGTGTGTGTGAGTAAGTAGTACTGATATTCCATGTGTAATACTCCCAATGTAGTTGTGCCAAACTCGACCCCCAAACCCAAGCCTCTATTACTGGACTCACGTGTGTTTCCTGAACTGTCGGGTCTGCAAATCCGGTGCTCCGAGGAAGAGTACAGAGGTCTTCCTGCTGTCGGCTTGCTTGTTATAGTGATACTGCGATGCCCACCAAAACCATATTGAATCCCTAAACCCTAAACCCTAAACCCTAAACCCTATCGAGGTCCTCTACTTTAGCTTCGTCTCGGAGTCCAAAGGGCTCCTGCCAGCAACCATCCACCGAGTTCTAGTTAATGGGATTGAGGTGCGTTTCGCCCCTTTCGCCTCCGTCCTTTCGCAGCAGCCACCGTCAACCCTGAACCAGAAATCTAGGTTCATGGGAAGTTATAAGTAGGGTTATAAGTAGGGTAACTATAGTTATAACCCATATTAGGGGACTTATAATTATTTACAATAATCATGAATATCCAAGTTGAAGATCCTCTTGAAGCCTGTGCCTGGGCTCTCACCCTCATCGAAATCTGGCGCTGCAGCCTTGAATTGATCCTGGATCCTACAGGCAATTGTCATTTTCCAGATTCCAGGAACCGAGAACTTTCAAAGCTCAAACTTCCAACGCCCGCATTCAAAACGCTTCTGCCTGAAGCCTCTTTCGAGGTGACCGTCTGGAAAATCTCCACAGCTGCGAGCCTCCGATGTGGGGTCACCCAGTTTCAGCTGCTTCAGTGACTTTGATGTCGGACGCTTCTGCAGACGTTGCGGGCTTTGACTTACAGAATCACAAATAAAGACCTTCGCAGCATGAACTATGAGCGATGATTGCTTCAACAACGTCGATAACACAGCCAGTAGCACCAGCGGCAACAGCAGCCAATGCCGGAGCTGCCGCGCAGCCGAAGCCGTCTCGGCAGCACCGGCAGCAGCAGCGACAGCATCCGCCACCGCCGCCACCCTCACCCCACCACCGCCGCCACCACCACCGACCAAAAAGGAAGACAAGCGAGATAGGAAAGGCAACAGCAACAGCAGCAACAGCAGCAACAGCACCAGCAACAGCAACAACAACGACAACAAGAACAGGAACACTAACAAGAAGACAACGCAAGAACAATAACAACAACCACAACAATATCAAGAACGAGAATATTGAACAAATTTCAAGAACACAAAACACTAACAAAAAGAGCAAGCACAATCACAATAACGAGAACCAGAACCAAAACGATAACCAGAACGAGAGTAAGAACAATAACGATAACAATAACAATAACACCAAAACGACACAGCAACAGCAAACACAACGGCAAAAATAACATGCGGTTATAAGAGTGTCAGTAGTAGTAAGAGCAACAAGAGCTATGAAGCTATCAACGACGACAAGGACGACGGCAAAGGTTCTTGAGTGCACGTGTACAGCGAAAGGTTCGCAATGGCCCCAGTTGCGAACCCGAAGAGTTTCTGCATCGACGTGAAGAAGTCTGGAGAGGCGCGGGTGGATTTTAGGAGCCCCTGGTTTCCAGAACCGCAGAACTTAGAACTCAGATGAAGGCTCAAGGGCGGATTGCCGAGTGCCTCCCTGTTTCATTTACCGTGAATGGGGCTTGAGTTTGCGTTGTCATGCATTGGTCTTGCTGTGGCAGGGTTGAGTCTGCGAGATTTCGGGAATCCTGCGCTCCCAGCTGTAGCTTGACCCCCAACTGAGCCCTAAATGGTAAGATGGAGGCCTAAAAAATTGCCTATACTATTTTTGGGCTTCCTTATTATAACCAGAGTATAATAGACCCCAAAAACCCTATTCTAATTTTTGAGGCCCCTAAACTTTATGCATCCATGACACCAGACTCGGAGCGCAGTTGGAGCCTCGCATCAGCGTTTTTTGAAGCCAGAATCCTAAACCCTAAACCCGAAGTCCTATAAACACAGAAGGCCCTAAACCCCCTGATAACATGCATGAGCCGAATTCAGAACCCTTGATTATTATAGAACCCTTAAAGAACCCATAAACAAACCGTTATAGAACCCTTACTATAGAACCCCTTTGGAACCCTTATAGGAAACTCATTATAGAACCCTTATAGAACCCTTATTATAGAACCCTTATTCTAGAACACTAATTACAGAACTCATAACCAAGAGAGATGCCCTCCTCCATCTCGAACAACCCTAATCCCTAAACCCTAAACCCCAAACCCATCTCGAACCTACCCGCGAGTTTTTCAGGCGCCCGGCCTGATGGATTTCATGCAGCTCGGCTTCTTCTCTGTGCGTCACACTAATATAGGGGCTCCAACAATTACCAACACTAATTTGGGGTTCCAACACTATTTTGAGGGTTCCTGTGATAATTTCAGCAGCATGCGCCCCCAAACCCTATTCTAATTATTAAGGCCCCTATATATTATGCAAAAGGGGATTGCATACTTTATACTATACCCTATGTTGGACCCACTACACGATTACATACTGTAACATAAGATGGTACCATGGTACCATACTAAACTATACCATGCTAAATCTGGACTCCGGTGTATGGTTCAGGGTACCCTAAACCCTAAACCCTAAACCCCTAAACCCCTAAACCCTAAACCCTAAACCCTCAGTTTGCAG